CGCCCCGGGGCCCGGGGCTGGCTCCGGCACCGCGCATGTGCCACATGCCCGGGGCCAGGCCAGTCCTGAGCACTTGGCGGGCGCAGACAAATGCCCCCGTGGGCGCCATGGCGCCCGCGGGCACCATGTTGGGGACCACGGTACTAGAATATATCTTTCACCTGCAGGACACAGGACAATCCAATTAGTTCCATCAACGTACACTTAGCAGCTATATCAGCAGTTCACTCACCCATACAAGTGCATTCTGTTTTTCCCATCTGTGCATTAAGAGATTCTGCAAAGGGATACAGAACCTGTATCCGCCAGGTAGAGAGCCAGTGCCATCATGGGATTTGAACGTCGTGCTGGATTCAATCATGAGACGGCCTTTCGAGCCACTTGCAACCTGCTCGGTACTCCACCTATCAATGAAAGTAGCTTTTCTCATTGCAATAACATCAGCCACGAGAGGGGGGGAGATAGCAGCACTCATATGGTGTCCAGTGGGTCTTCTCTTACACAAGGACAAGTGTCCTTAGAACCCACCCGAAATTCCTCCCCATGATACCTACCTCATTCCATTGTAATGAACCAACATATCTATCTGTGTTCTGAAACCACACAAGGACAACAACCAGGCTGGATGTACTCAGGGTATTAGCCTTTTACGTGGAACACACACAAGATTGCCAAAGAACACTCAGACTATTTGTGGCTTGCGCAGACAGGTCCAGAGGTCAACCTGTCTCCAAACAGTGAATATCCAAATGGATTTCTACATGCATACAGTTGGCTTACTCCCAGAAAAACGGGCACACTCCATGAGAGTAGTATCTACCATGACTGCTTTCCTTAAGGGCCTACCAATAGACATTACCTGCAGGGCAACAACATGGCTTTGGCCAATACTTTTGCACAGCATTACGCTATTCAGACCTATTCGGACTCAGGCACTAGATTTGGACGTATGGTCCTGTCCAATATCTGGTCCTGCATCACGGAGCATCCACCGCCAAGCAGGAACACTGCCGCGTAGTCACCTAAGTGGAGCACCCATGGGGACCCTAAAGAAGAAGGGAAGGTTACTCACTTTGTGCAGTAACTGGAGTTCTTTGAGCTGTGTCCCCGTGGATGCTCCACACCCACCCTCCTCCATTGTGCTCCTGGCTAACACAGTTGGGCGTAGAGAAGGAACAGAGGGAACAGCCGCCGGCACATGTCTGATTGTCAGTCAGGGCGATTGCACACACAGGCAGCTGCGGGACTGCTAGCAAAGTGGTCCATTTTACAGAACGGAGAGCGGTAAATAGTGGGGTCCTGCAGGAATCTGTACTGGAAACAGTGCTATTCAACATTCATAAATAGGGCCTTATCAAATTCATGGTCCATTCAGATCAATTTTATGGCCACAAGATTTAAAAATTGATCTATTTAATGATTTTAGCTGTTCACATCTGAAAGTTCATGGTGTGTTAACGATGGGGTGTCCTGACCTAAAATGGGACCACGGGGAGTTGCAAACTTGTTGTAGAGTGGTTGTTAAGAGTATGTCTACACTGGGGAGTTATTTCAAAATAACACTACTAAGCATTCACACTACCAAGCCTGTTTTGAAATAATGGGCTTGTTATTTCGAAGTAATAACTCCTGCTTGTGAAGAGGATTAATACTTATTTCAGAAGTGATTTCTTGTAACTTATTTCAAAATAACCCAGTAGTGTAGACATAGCTCAAGATTGCTACCCTCACTTCAGTGCTGCCTTCAGAGACCAGCACTCTCCCAGAAGTTAGAAGAGGTTCTGAGAGGTGGAGAACCCATGCTGCTGTGGGTTCCTAGTTAGCAGTCCATGCCAGGGACAGATTAATACAGGTGCCGCTGGTCAGTTTGCCCCCTCCCAAGCAGTGGGAGAAGTCCCAGGGCAGAAACCCCTATCAGATCACTCTGCAGCAGACATAGGGGAAGGAGTCCCAGTCTGGAGCAGCTCAGGAGTGGACATCCTGAGGACTGGGCTGCCCCAGGCTGAAGTGGTGGGGAGGGGAGCCAGAGAAGCCCTAGGCCTGGGCTGGAAGCCTTGAGCTGCAACAGAGGGGAGGAGGCTGGAGCTAGTGAGAGTGTAAGCCCCCTGCGTAGCAGAAGCAGCTGTGGGAGGAAGCCACGAGCTCAGTGTCTGGACCTGGAGCGGTGTCAGGAGCTGGGGAGTGACAGAAGCCCAGAGCCCAGCACCGGGGCTTCTGTAGCAAACAGGTGAGGTTGAATCACCCTCATTTCTGTACTGCCCATCGAGGTGGGTCTGATCTCCCTACCAAGAGCAGCTGTGCAGGGGAAGAACAATTCCTGTTCCTCTACAGAATGACTAGAGCAGCAGGAAGAAGACCCAGGTGCCCAGTAGCAGGGGAGATCAGATTCCATAGGGAAGGGCTAATTTTGAGGTTCATGAAATTAGGTAGGGTATTATTCATAAATGGTCTGGAAAAGGGGGTACTGTGAGATGGCAACATTTGCAAATGATACAAAGTTACTCAAGACAATTAAGTCCAAAGACTGAAAAGAATTAAAGGGATCTTGCAAAACTGGGTAGTGGGGCAATAAAATAGAAGAAATTCAGAGTTGAATAAATGCAAAGTATAATGCACCTTAGAAAATACACTCCCAACTATACATATGAAATGATGGGATTTAAATTAGCTGGTATAACTCGTGATAGAGATTTTGGAGTCATTATGGTTAATTATCTGCAAACATCTGCTTGGTGCAGTGGTAGTCAAGCGCTAACAGTGTTAGGAAACATTGGGAAAGGAATCGATAAAACAAGATGATATAATGCCACTATATACATTCATACCTTGAATACTGTGTTTTATTCTGTTCTCTCTATAGCAATATGCAGTGCTTTTTTTTGTTTAAAAAAAAAAAAAAAAGTGCCGGTACTCCAGGGGAAAAATTGTTGAGCTCTGATTGGAGATGCTGGTACTGAGTACCAGGCAGTACCGTCACAAAAAAGCACTGGCAATATATAAAAGAATTTGAAACTGGAAACAAATATAATTAAAGGGTATGAAATAGTATGTAGACGAGGAGACACTAAAAACACTAGGACTGTTGAGTCTGGAAAAGATGACTAAGGAGATATAACAGTGGTTTATAAAATCATGGAGGGAGTGGAGAAAGGGAATAGGGAAGTACTATGCATCCCTTTACATAAGAGAATCAGGGGTCAATGAATGAAACTACAGGTTGAACCTCCGAAATCCAGGACTCTCTGGTTTGGCAACATCTAGATGTTGCTGGATCAGAGAGCTCCGGTGCCTTGGAGTGCAAACTGCTTGGGAGCCCTGTCCCCGAGGAACCCTGGCCAAGAGGACCAGTGAGTCCCAGATGGACAGGACAGCAGCAGGGCCAGCAAGCCCCATCACAGGGGAGCCCTGGACAGATGGGACAGAAGCCGATGGCAAAAGTGAGGCAGCCAGCAAGCCCTATCCCTGGGGTTCCCGGTTGGATGTGGGAGAAGCAGGCCCACCGCGATTGGGGAGCTCCATCTCAGAGGAGCCCTAGCAGGCCGGAGCCCAAATCCAAGCCCTGCAGGCTGGAGGCCAGAGGCAGTGGGGCTGGAGCTCAGCCAGCTGCAGGGAGTTGGAGCAACCTGGGAGGCTGATAGCAGAGGGCCTCCCCTGGTCCAGCAAATTTCCTCACTTGGGATGGGTCAGGTCCTGAGGGTGCTGGACAAGGGAGCTCCAACCTGTAAAAGGCAAAAGCTTGAAGCAAAAGGAAGTACTGCTTCACACAGGACTGGCCCACAACATTTTGGCACTTGAGGTGGGGAACTCAAATGACACCCCCATGCATCTTTTCTCCTGCCTGCCTGTTCTGTGTCTTGTGCCCTCCTTCCTCCAGCACAGCACTCCACCATCTCAGTGCATCTAGAGCAGAGAGAATACATATGCACCAGCAGCAGACACAATTTTCTACACTGAGTTCTAGTGGCAGTCTGGCACCTGACAGACCCCCCCAGTCTGGCACCTGAGGCGGCTGCCTCAGTTTGCCTCATGGTAAGGCCAGCCCTGGCTTCTCACAACACACAGTCAACCTGTGGAACTTGCTGCCTGGGGATATTATGAAAGCCAAAACTATAACTGGGCTCAAAATAAATGTGTGGAGGACAGGTTCATTAATGGCTATTAGTCAAGATGGGCATGGATGCAATCCCATGTTCTGTGTGCGTCCCTAGCCCAGGGGTGGGCAAAAACCTCTGTGGGCTGGATCCGGCCCACCTAGGGCTTTGATCCAGCCAGTGAGGCAGTTTCAGGACCCGCCCCCTAGTTCCTTGCCTCCGAACAGGAGAGGGATGGAAGTCCTTCAAACTGCTTCTATTTAAAGAGCTCCCATCTTCCCTGTGGCTTGCCTAGCAGCTGTGGGTAAAGTACAAGCCCTTTAAATAGAAACAGCTGAACCGGGCTGGGGGTCTGGCTCTGGCTCCATAGCAACATGCCTCTAGAGGAGCTCTCTCAGTTGTTTCTATTTAAAGGGTTCTCCTTTTCCCAGGGGCTGCTAGGCAACACATTGCCTGACAAGCATAGGGAAGGTGCTATCTCTTTAAATAGAAATAGCTGAGAGGGCTCTGTCAGGCAACACAGGCTGGATGGTGGGGAGCTGTGAGCCCTCTCAGCTGTTTCTATTTAAAGAGCTCTCCTGTTCCCTGAGGCTGCTAGGCAGGGCATTGCTTAGCAGCCCTGGGGAAGGAACAATCCCTTTTAAATAGAAGCACTTAAAAGGGCTTGAGTCTAACTCCCTAGCAACAGCTTTAGAGGCTGGGGGAGCTGCAAGCCCTTTTAAGTGCTTCTATTTAAAGGGCTGGCACCTTCCCTGCCCTTGTCAGACAATGTGTTGCCTAGCAGCAGGGGGGAACAGGAGAGCCCTTTAAATAGGAACAGCTCAAAGGAATCCTTCATCTCTGGCAAGGCACTAAAGGCATGGGGATCTGCAAACCCTTTCAGCTGTTCCTATTTAAAGGGCTCTTGTGTTTTCCCCCAGCCAGCCCTTTAAATAAAAGCATGTAAAAGGACTTGCAGGTCTCCCCTCCCCATGTGGTGTTAGGAAGCCAGAGATGTGAGCCCTTTCAACTGCTTCTGTTTAAAAGGATCACCTGCTGGGTGGCTGCAATGCCTGGCAGTCACCCCATGGACACAAGCCCTTTAAACAGAAGCAATTGGAAAGAGCTCACAGCTCTGCCCCACTAGCCAGTTGCCTGGGAGCTGCCCAGAGACATGAGCCCTTTCAACTGCTTCTGTTCAAAGGGCTTGTGCCTGCTGGGCAGCTTCTAGGCAACAGGTTAGAAGTGGGGGCAGGAGCTGCAAGCCCTGTGATATGAAATCTAAGCCTCCACCCCAGACAACTCAGTCATTTAGTTTAGTCCCTTGCACTCATATTAGGACCAAGTATTAATTTTAAGTGTCTTATGCCTCTTCATGAAAGTGATGTGTGCTCTACAAAACTAAAATGATCAAGTATTCACTGGAAAATGTTACATTAGTGACACATGCAGTTTTCTTCCCCCCTTTGGGCTTTTCTATTGTAGCTTTTAATACAATCTGTGGCACAGTTGTTTCTGAAAGAGTAGTACTTAAGAGGGGGGATAAAACAAATATGACCTTCTGCTCGAGGCTCCGCCCCTTCTAGGTCGGCCTGCGGACACTTCTGAAATTTGTGAAGTGGTCCCTCCTCCTTCAAAAATTATTGCCCACCCCTGCCCTAGCCCCTGACTGACAGAAGCTGGGACTGGACAATGGGATGGATCCACTCAATAACTGCCCTGTTCTGTTTGTTTCATCTGAAGCATCTGACATTGGCTGCTGTTGGAAGAGTGGCAACTGGGCTAAATGGACCATTAGTCTGACCCATTATGTTCATTTACCTTTTCCATTCTTAGGAGCCCTATTTTATCTGACTGGGAATCCAGGATTTTCCCTTAAACACAGACTCCACCCGAAAGTGAGCAGAGTCCCCGGGAGAGCCGGGTGGCCCTGGTGGCAGATGGACAGCAAAGGCCTGGTCAACGCATGGGCATTGCTTTAGGCGCTATCCCCAGCCACACCCCAAATCCCTGCAGCTGCATTTCTGCCCCAGGTTATAACCCCGTCCCAGACCCTGTACTCCAGGGGTGGGCAAGATAGCATCTGTGGGCTGGATTTGGCCTTCCAAGCCCCTTGATCAAGCCTGTGGGTGCTCTCCCACCCCCAGGCCACAAGACCTGGGGACGAGAGATTTCCCCTCCCCCCCTCTGCTCAGGGGTACACAGCACCAGAAGGAACTGCCAGCTGTTCAAAACAGCTGTTGGTTCTCTCTAGGCGCCATGCGCCCCTGCAGGATGGGGGCGGGACGCAAAGACTTCACACACTCCCCTGTCCCAAACCAATCAGGGTCTATGGGTGAGGAGTACATGAAGTCTCCTGGCCCTGCCCCTTTCTCCAGAAGCCCCATCTCTTCCAGAGTGGCCCACAACCACTTCTGAAATTCATGAAGTGGCCCCCCTTCAAAAAGTATTGCCCACCCCTATAGCAGAGTGAGGCTTCATAGTTGACTGCATATTCTAAGGGGCCAACTAAAGACAACACTGTATTGAAAGTGTCAGAGGCTGCAAAGCATGAAGGCAGATATTAGGGTGAACATTTTCAACAAGGATTCTGGGGAATCCAGGGGAGACCCTTAGGAGAGCTGGATTGCTATAGCTCCTCCCTGTCCTCCTGCTGTCACCCGGGCAGTCTTGCATGGATTTTCCCCGTAAAGCCTAAAGCAATGCCCATGCGTTGACCAGGCCTTTGCTGTCCATCTGCCACCAGGGCCACCCGGCTCTCCCGGGGACTCTGCTCACTTTCGGGTGGAGTCTGTGTTTAAGGGAAAATCCTGGATTCCCAGTCAGATAAAATAGGGCTCCTAAGAATGGAAAAGGTAAATGAACATAATGGGTCAGACGATTGGTCCATTTAGCCCAGTTGCCACTCTTCCAACAGCAGCCAATGTCAGATGCTTCAGATGAAACAAACAGAACAGGGCAGTTATTGAGTGGATCCATCCCATTGTCCAGTCCCAGCTTCTGTCAGTCAGAGGCTAGGGCAGGGGTGCAGAGGCTTTAGGTTACTTGGGGTAGGGGAAGATGGTTAGGGGAAGGAGGGGCTAGGGTGCAGGAGGCAGGCTCTGGCTTGGAGAACGAACTTAAGTGGCTCCCAGCCAGCAGCCCAGCAGGTTCCTTAGCCAGGATCCTTGCCTTTCATGACTCTGTACTGCTCTCAGCAGCTACACTGAGTGCTGAATGGGGGTAGGGCAGACAGGGACCCTATTGAGACTCTCACAAGCTGGGTTCGGTGGCTTGGCAGGCCGAAATTGGCCCACAGATCATATTTTGCCCAGCCCTGCTCTACTGTCTTCTCTGGAGCAAGAGCTCCTTACACTGGAGATCAGGTTCACCTACCTACCCATCAATGTCATAAATACTAAGAGTTTGAAGAAACTGAGCCTTCATCAGTAATGATTGTTTTTGTCCTAGGATGGACCAGAGAGTTATGATTTTTTTTAGATTTTATTAACTTGTCAGCGCAATCCCTGATCACAGTACCTGTTCTACCTGACATGATCTCTCAAAACAAAGGTCATATGTAACCAAGACAAAGTATCTTTACCTCTGACAGTGCAAATGCTGGCTAGATAACTAGCATTGAAAGAAGTTGTTCAGTTGAAAGCAAGAATGCTTTAGTGTATAGCAAAAAACACTCTACAAGATTGACCTATGTAGCTACATGGAAAAGATCTTCCTTAAAAGCTCTAATTTCTACTATTCAGGACCATCTGTTGGCTCTGTAAAGGTACATTCGGTAGCAACAGAGGCACTTAATTTTCTGTTGAGTTGCATGGTATTTTGTCATCATACTGTTAATAGACTTCTCATTCATGTATTTCCCCATTGAGAACCCACAAAGGAAAGGGTTCCTGAATATGGTGGTAGGTGGTTTAATGGGAATTTCTTTGGACTCTAGTGACCTGCTTGTTACATGGTCAGTCCATAGAGTGCCTTTTTAGTTGTTGCAATATTAACTTGAACAGTAGGAGAAATTCTGCATGGCAGGTCAACTTCACATGTTTCACAAAGGGAAAGTTAATTTAGCACTCACCCTAAGTTGTTAGAAGAAATTTCTTTATTTTTACTTAAATCAGCAGATGCTGCCAGTTTTTCTTTCACAAGCCCCACAAACTAAGGGAAAGCTGAACTGAACAACCTTTATGTGTCTAGGGCTCTTCTATGTTGTCTGGATAGAATAAGACCCTTCAGAAGATTCCCTGGGCTGTTTTATGCCATTTGTAGATAGGGTTAAAGGTCAGGAAATACCCATCCAAACATTGTCTAAATGGGAATCTGTGTTAAATTATATTACAATATAGCTAAATTAAATCCATCATTTTATGGATTCCATGACTCCCCATCCATTGCTGCTCTGGAGTCCTATACCATCTGGGTTCTTCATTAGTGAAGGAACGGAGAAATAGTTGGACTTGTCTCTTTTGTGTTTTTGCGGGGCAAGAGTTGGACTTGTCTCTTTTGTGTCTTGCGGGGCAAGAGCATCCAGAGTAGTCACAGTCCCAACAGATGCTGCTAGCCAAAATAATCTGATGATTTGTGCATGTGTCTTGTGCATAGTAGAAGTGGAATCTGCATGGACAACACATTTTTGAATCATAGTTACTGGAAGGTAAGTAACTTCTCTGATTTCATCCTCAAGTCATCTGAATGTGACAGCTTTACAATCTTCTCTGGATGCTGGAACTACTACATATGGTACTTAAAATGCTTAAAGAAAAAGGAATCTAGATGGTCTTAGGGATACGGTCTCATTAGCTTGTGTTCAACACCTTTAAAAGATTTCATTAATTTACAAATAAAAATATCCCCCTTATGGTAGACAGAGCTGTTGCAAATCATATAACCTAGAAAAAAAAACTTTACTAAGATAAATAAAGCAGATGTTTCTATTATAGTCTCAGTATTGACTGTTACTTTACTGACTAGTTCACCATTCTGTGAACCTCTTGTAATAGGCAAATAGTTACAGCAAGAACAACTTGCATTGCATTTTTTTTTCCAGACAAAAGAAAAGTATGAAAAATCACTGAAAGACCTGGATCAGGTAACACCTCAGTATATGGAAAATATGGAGCAGGTATTTGAACAGTGTCAGCAGTTTGAGGAAAAACGTCTGCGTTTTTTCCGGGAAGTGTTACTGGAAGTTCAGAAACACCTTGACTTGTCTAATGATGCGAGGTAAATTTAATATTTAAAACATTTCTTGCTAAAATTGCTTTAATGTTTCCATTAAATATTATGCATCCAGTAGAGTTTACAATCTGACTAAATGCTTTTTAAAATGTTTCTTTTTTTCTGGCATTAAATAGAAAGGTTTTAATAATTCAGTAGTAAGCCATTTCTGTAATTTACTTTATTAGTTTTGTTCAGGACAACATGTTGGAAAGATGATAATCCAATGGCTTTCTTTAAAATTTAGAATACAAAAATGGCAGAAGAGACAGTTAAAATATGCTTTTAGTAGCTTGAAATAACACTTGGCTCTTTGAGTGATTGCTTGTGTGCATTCCAAGCTAGACAGGGGTGCGTGTGTGTGTGCATTCCAAGCTAGACAGGGGTGCGTGCGTGTGCGCGTGCATGCTGAATGCACAGTCATCAGAAAGCTTTTCCCTAGCAGGAACCCATAGGTTAGTAGGGGAAGACTTCTAGAGCGGTGCCAAAATGGCTACGTGTATAGCCCCCTGCCGACTGTCCCTTCCCTCAGTTACTTCTTGCCATCAGTGATGGTCGTTGGAGCTAGCTTATCTTGCTGTGGGCAAGCATTAGTTCCCTAGCTATTGTTTCAGACAGATCTTAAGTTTTCAAGTTAGTTGGTAGTTAGTAGGTAATAGCTCTCTGTGGGGACTTCTTGTGCTTTTTCCTATGCCAGGGCTGGGGCATGCCTCGGCTCTAGGGCTTTCAAATGCTGCAAGGAGTGCATGAAGTTTATGCTTATGGGTGACCCATACAACTCCTGCCTTAAGTGTCTGGGAGTGACTCACCTCACAGATAAGTTCAAGATCTGCAGGGCCTTCACTTCAAGAATGCACAGTGATAGGGAGTTCTGCCTCTGAACTACCTTGGTGAAGGTCTCCTTTGATCCATGGCCCGTGGTGCTAAATGGGGGATTGGACCGATCGGCCTCCATGCACAATGCACCGTTGTAGGTGCGGAGTGCACTGGCTCTGTGTAAGGAGTTGGAGAAGAGACCTCCTGCATCAGTGATCACTGGCACAGAAGGCCTCTGCATGGCACTGCTCTCATTCTCTGGAGCAGAAGTGGCAAAGGCAGGAAAGTGGCAGGTCCCCTACTTTGAGGGTGAAGAAATTTGAAGGGTTGCATCCTGAGTCCGAGCACCCTTCAAAACAACCCACCCTTCCAGCATTGCTGACTCTGGCAGCACGCAGCTGGTTCCGTCAAGTCCGGTACTGGTGGACTTTCCATCGCAAGAGAACCAGATGGAGAGATGTGGATATGCCTTCCACTCCCAAAATTTGTGAGGCAGCCCAGGACCTCATCAAACTAATGTTGGGACAGTCAGCGTCTCCAAGAGAGTCCCTACCTGCTGGTCCGGCACCCATACTGGGTCCAGTGCGTGCAAAGGGGAACCCCTCCCACGTTGAGAAAGTCTCCTTTACCTCAGTACCATTCCCCAAGTCGGGACCACTCACCTCGGCACCAATCCTGCGATGGCTCCTGTGTAAGGTAGAGCCCTTCCAGTGATCTCTGACATCTACATCATAGTAGGAACCAGAGACCCGCAGGACTAAGAGGCGGCTCTCATCTGTGCATTGTCATGTGGAAAGGCAAGAGGTGTCAGTGCCACCCTAGTTGCCCTTTTGGATCCCCTGGGCCTACCATCAGGCACAGACAGTGGGCTCGAGGTCAACGTTGGTCGCCTCTGTCAGCAGGGGCACACTGTTGGCAACATTAGGAAGATTGCTGTAGGAGGTGCAATCTTCCTTGCAGCACACAGGCTCTGGGTCGCAGATGCCCACTACTCAGCTGTTCAGGGTGCTAGTGGATTCCTGTTTGGCACCGAGCCCCCAATTGTAGCAAGTAGGGGGCTCCCAGTATGCATTCCAAGTTCACGGGGAGTCAGGCTCCCATATGCATTCCCTCCTTTCCCTGTAATTCACAAGGTGCTGATCAAGATCCATGAGGACAGGGCAGATTCCATTATGATAGCACTGGCCTGGCCCAGGCAGAATTGGTACACAAAGCTGCTAGCGTTGTCAGTGGCCCCTTCGATCCCTCTCACCTCAGTCTCGGATCTTGCTGTCCCAGGATCACGGTCCTTTGCTGCATCATAAACTTTAGGACTTGTACCTGACTGCCTGGAGGCTCTGCGATTGTGCAGCAATGTTTGGAGAAGGAGCAGCAGGTCCTACTGGGTAGTAGAAAACCCTTCATGTGGGCAATATATTTCCCAATGGAAGAGGTTCCCCATATGGGCCTGTCAGCAAAACATCAAACCCCTGCAAGCAACTTTCCCCTGACATTTGAATACCTTATGGGGCTAAATCAGCAAGGGCTCGCACCTCCTCCACTTGAGTACACCTAGCTGCAATATTGACATTTCACCCTGGGTCTGGGGGACGTTCGGGGTTTATAAATCACTTAGTGGGCCGGTTCCCTAAGGGGTTGGATACGTTATACCCTCATGTGAGGGACCCAGTGCCTCAATGGGGCCTGAATCTGGTTTTGGTAAGGTTAGTGGGTCCCTCCATTTGTCCTTGTTGTATTTGTCTGAGAAAGTTGTGGGTTTGGTGATCATTATTTCAGCCAGACGAGTTTCTGAACTTGAAGCATTTGTCTGAACCCCCTTATACTGTTTTCTTTAAAGATAAGGTTCAGTTGAGACTCCACCCTTTGTTCCTCCCGGAAGTTGTCCCCCATTTTCATGTGTCCCAGGACATTTTCCTGCTGGTTTTCCAAGCCAAGCCTCACCTTACCTCTCGGGACCGGTCCCTGCATTCTCTGAATGTGAGGTGTGCCTCAGCTTTTGGAGTGCACTAAGCCTTTCAGGAAATCCAACCAATTGCTTGTGGCCATAACAGATAGATAGAATGAAAGGGTTCCCCCGTCACCTCCTGTAGGATCTCCTCCTGGATCACAGCCTGTATCTGCATTTCCTATGATTTGCCAAAGGTCCCAACCCCTTAGTTGTCCACCCACAGGCCTCATCCATAGCCTTTCTTGCTCATGTTCCTGCCTAAGGCATTTGTTAGGCAACCATGTGGTTGTCAGTCCACACGTTTGTCCCACACTGCCATCCAACATCAGGCTAGAGAGGACACTGCGTTTGGAAGGGTAGTGTTGCAGACTGGTGATCTCCAATCCCTCCATCAGATAGCAGATTGGGAATCCCCTAACTTGGAATGACCTTGAGCAATCACTCTGTTATGAACAAGGGGAATGCTGACCTGTACCCGTTGACTAAGGGGTTAACTCAGATACCTAGCAAAGGTGTTGGCCAGGGGCCAGGAGAGCCATTTGCAATAGAGGCTTGAAATTTGAACTGAATATAGATTCCCTGCCTTCTTTCTTTGTGTGGGAGAAATAAACCAGGAGTTGAGAGAGATGGAGTGATTTAAACCCAGGCAGGGCTACCATCTCCCCCCCGCCCTGGGAATGTAGAGCATGGGAGCGGACTGAACAAACAGAAAATTAGAAGTGAGTGCCAGGGAAATGTGAGTCCAGTCATGTTCAGGGTAATTTTTCTTTATTTTGTGGTTTGGTTTGAACTGCTCTGTGAATCTATGCCTCCCCCCATTTACTACTAAACTTTGTGCCGAGACTTTTCTCTGGTTTTTTAATGTTTCCCTTGGTTGCTCTGTAACATCTAGCAAATCAAGTATGCTGTATCAAGTTTATCTTTTGTTTTGTAATAAAAATCACTTCTAAGGTGATGATTTGATTCGTGTGTCCTGGAAAGTCTGTATGTGTGTATCAGCATGCCTCTGGCTTAGGGGTCAGCTACCAGAGACTGCAGTTTGTTTTTTCTCTTTTCTTTTTCAAGCTCTTTTGGAGCAAAGGAGCTTGGGGTACCCGTAGGGGTGGTTTCAGGTATTCACCTCTGGGTTTTTTAGGGATCAAAAGCACTTGATGGTTGCCGCAAATTTCCCAAAATATGTGTATTAGGATTTTGGGGGGAAGTTTTTGTAACTAGTGCCTATAGAGGCAAGGATTTGAAGCTCTCTTGCACCTTCTGCATTTGGAATGCTAGAGCGGGGAACAGGTTTGACACACTTGAAGAAGAAAAGACTGTCATGTACCTTTGGTAACTGGTGTTCTTCGAGATGTTGCTCATGTGCATTCCAAACCCTCCCACCTCCCCTATGTTGGAATAGCTTCTGGCAAGAAGAAACTGAGGGAGGCTATATACTTAGCCAGATTAGCACCACTCTAGGGGTCTCCCCTGTCAACCTACATGTTCCAGCTAGGGAAAAGCTTTCCTAAGACTGGACATGAGCAACACATCTTGAAGAACACCAGTTACCAAAGGTACATAACTGTCTCTCTTTGACAGGAAAAACTAGAATCCATTAATTTCAGAGTGCACAGATATGATGGCATAAACATGTCTGACACCAATCATTGTTAAAGAGATAAAACTGAAGCAGTACTGGAGATATTGAAACCATTTTTCATTTGAAATGGATTAAAATGTGGGATAAATGTTAGTCTGTCATCACTTGGATCTTGCCCACATCTTTATTCTGAAGGCTATTTTTATATCTCTTTAACCTTATCTGGAACATATTACTATTTAATTGCTGACAGCATTGTTAGGAAATATATATTGTAAGGAAACAGCAGCCAATTATTGGGGTTAATTTTTTTAATTATACTTTTGATTTTCTGGCATTTCAGGTTTTTCTAGTATACCTTAATGTTCCTAGTAAATACGTTTATGAACATAATTTAGACTAGAATTCATTAGTTTTACACTATAATTTTTCATTCTAGTTTAGGCAAGCTTGATGAAAATTTTGCTTAAGTGAATTTTTAGGTAATATTATAAATGAATTCATTCTAAAAAGCGTTTAAAACATTTATCACTTACAGTTAACTATCACTGCTTAATGGTTACACAGAGGATGCTACATAAATAAAAACAACCTTTTGAGTTAAATAATTTTATCAAAAACTCAATGGGTGGGCCACATAGTTTTTCTTTTTATTTCGTTGCTATTGCTAAGATTTGCACAAGAATTTCATACAGATGTCTTTTGTCCTACACTACAGAGTAGTGTTTTGGCTCATGTAAATCACGGCAAAAATACAGGTTGGACCTCTCTGGCCCCAGTACCCTCGGGACCTGACTCGTTCACATGTGGGAATTTGCCGGACCGGGGAGGGGGGTCTCCTGCTACTGGTCCGCAGCCCACTGCCTCTCCCCACTACCAGTTCAGTGTGTCTCCTTCCCCCCCTTCCCAGCTAGGCTGCTGCGCTGCTGCATCTTCAACTACCTGGGCTGCCATGTCCCCGGTCCCAGCCCCGGCTCCACTACCGGGGCTGCTCTGGCTCCGGTCCCAGTTGTGCTGCCACCAGCCCCACCTGGCTCCCAGCTGCCAGCTCTCCTACCACTGGGCTCCCAGTCAGGACTCCCTGGTCCAGGAATATCCCTGATCCTGCTGGACCATGGATGTTACTGGACTAGAAAGTTCCAATTTTGGGAGGTCCAACCTCTATATAATTTTCTATTCTGATTTACTGGATTCTAGTAAATCTATATTAAATAGAAAAACAAATTTATCTTGCAGTTACAAAAATATCTATCGTGAATTAGAGCAGAACATCAAAACAGCAGATGCTATTGAAGATCTGAGGTGGTTTAGAGCTAATCATGGTCCAGGGATGTCAATGAATTGGCCTCAATTTGAGGTAAGAATTTATACCTTTAAAAACTTGCTTTTTTGATACTTGATTTGTCTTTCATTCTTCCCCTTAATTGAACAGTAATTATTTGTCTTGTTTCAAAAAGCTGAATTCCTTGCCTCCCTGTTTGTCTTAATTTTGTTATAGCTTTTGGGTGAGTTAATATTTTGAACCATACTTTGGCTGTTTTTATACAGATAAACAAAAAATTTTTTATGTGCTATGGCTTTCACTTCAACTTGGATCCTGTTGATCAAAAAGCCACTAAGGCTATGTCTAGACTGTAGGCTTCTTTTGGAAGAAGCTTTTCCAGAAGAGATCTTCTGGAAAAACTTCTTTCCAAAGAGAATGTCCATACAGCAAAAGCGCATCAAAAAAGCCATGTACTTTTTTTGAAAGATAGCATCCACATTGATTGGACACTGTCTCGCATTTAAAGTTGTGATTACTATGGACAGAGTAACCACCAGGGCACCTGTGCTTTTTTCTGGAGGCCTTTTCTTTTGGGGGAAAAAAAAACCTTTTCCACCATACACGTATGCCTTTTTCCAAAAGAGCTCTGTTAATATCACTGTCCTTCCCACCCCAAATAATAAAATGGGTGCTAAAAGTATGCTTAATAGGAAGGAGTAGGAGATTTTTAAAAAATTCACCTAATTTGAGCACCGAGTTGATAGAATTAAAATATCACTTTCCTCCATAAGAGAACATTAGACACACCTTGCTTGAGATCACTCCTGGGGAAAATGAGTTTTGGTGGCATTAATGTGCTGTGATTTTTGTTTAAACTTTGTAGACTAACGAAACATGTAGATGGTATCATGAGCTTTTGTGGGCACAGCCCACTTCTTCAGATGACCGGAGTTGTTTATTCATCGACAGTGCCAGGCCTCTTAATAGATAAGATGCAGATACTAATATAATGTAGGTTATTATTTTTCTAATAGAATTTTTTTTCTTTACATGCAACAAGGAGGATGTAAGTAAGATTTTTTTTTTTTATGGTCAAATGTATTAGAAATGCTGTCATATGTTGTAAGTATGCTTAAGTCCATTCCTTTTTAAGTTATAGTAATTTAAACTTCCAATTTCTATCTCTATAAAACTGCTTAAAGAACTTGTCCTCTATTAAAAATAAATGGCGGTCTGCTTGTTAAGACTGATGGAGCATATTAATTGTGTAAAAAAACCAATCATGATACCAGAATGTTGAGCTTTGATTCATTTTAATCCTTATTTGAATTCTTCAACCTTTTGTACAACAGCCTAACTCTGACTTTGTAACACTATTTACCCTAAAAAGTGGGAGGAAGAAGAAACCATAGGGTGCGTTGGAATTTTCCCTAGACCAGTGTTTCTTGAACTTTTTAAGATGGAGGAACACCAAACAATTTTTTTATGAGGAACACCAAGAACTTCTTGTTGAGCACAAACAAACAAACAAAAGAGGACAGGGAAAAGTTATTGAGCAAAAAAAAAAAAAAAAAACAGGCATTGCCATGGAACACACTTTTAAGAGAAACTGCTGTAGGCTGTCCACTTTGGCCTTTTTATTGCTGCACTGTTGTCATTCAGTTCATGTTTTAAATTAGCATACAATTCAGGGTTGATTTTGCAGCTATCAGTTGTGTTTGAAATCTTCACTGTCATGCCTGCCTGTCTACCTACATGCCTTTAAGTGTGCCAAAATACCAATATATATTTTATTAAACTTAGGGAGCTGCACCACAAGGGCTTAAATTGAAATGCAAAATCGTCATATTTCATGCAATAGGTCACATCTAGAATAGTTGCTTGTTAAACAAGTTGACTTCTCCATAGATCATTCTTAATATGTGCTTATCTATTAAATTTAAATCTTGGAAACTATGTGTACTATCAGTGCCCGGCTGTTTTGTAGCAGTGGATGAGCACTCTGCTACCTATAGAGTCAGTTTTTTGTGATTTCTCCCTTAATTTTAGATTAGTGGCAGCTGGATTAAGTGAACATTGGGGAATTTGGCATTCTTAGGCTACATCTACACTGCCATTTTTTTGAGTCAGAAGATATGCAAATTGCGCTCATTTGCATATCTTCTGCTGATCCTTTTTGCAGAAGAGGTTTTGCCGCTAAAAAGCCCCGTGCAGACAGGGCCATTTGTTGGAATAAGGGATCTTGCACAAAAGGGTTTTTTCCCGACAAATGGCCCCTTCTGCACGGGGCTTTTTAGTGGCAAAACCGCTTCCGTGAAAAGGATCAGCAGAAGATATGCAACTGAGAGCGTGATTTGCATATCTTCTGCTGTAAAAAAAGGCAGTGTAGACATAGCCTGAGAGGCAGGGAGCTAGAATGTAAGACTTCAGTTACGGCAAATTATAAATCAGCATATTGCTTCTGATCTTGACAGTGGTTCACTTGACTCTTAATTTTGTTGCTGATATCCAGGGCAAAGTTTTAATCTTTATGCTATTTGTGCAGAACTGCTATATGTATACATAAGCTATGGATCCTACAATGGCTGTTCCCTTGCAGAACCAAAAGCTTGACCATAAGAGAATTTTGATGCTCTCACTTGAGAGAATTTAAAAGTTTTCTGTTGCCATTTACCTAACCCTTCCTTTGTTTAGATATCAAGTTAAAGGTTTTCCTTTATGGCTTTCACTTGATACATTAACATGTTTTGATAAGTCACAGTGAATTTCCCTCCCTTGATTACAGGGTGGGGAGTAGAAGCTCCCTATGAATGGGGGGGAGGGATGGGGAGAGGGGGCGTTCCTGCTTTGTGGTCCATTTCAGCCCTTTTGGGACTTGCTTCTTGCACTCTGGCCCACTTCCAGGTTGCCTGGTGGCTGCTCAGGTACCTTTTGGGTTCTGCTCCCTACACCGATCAAAGTCCCCACTATAGCGCCTTGGTCCTCTCTAGGTCCTGATCCTGTGTCCTGCTGTCCCCAACCCCTCCTGCCTCCCCTGGGCTTCATAACTGTTTCTTAGAAGTAGAAACAGACAAGGTGAGGGGTGGTAGAAAACAAAGAGTAGGTCTTCTATAAAACAGTAGGCTAAACATATGTCAAATATAGGGTATTGGAAAAGAAGAATATGTATGCAAGACTATAATAAGTTTCAAAAAAAAACTCTGTTAAGTTCGTGGAGGATGGGTGCATCAGTGGCTACTGGCCAGGATGGACGGAGATGGTATTTCTAGCCTTTGTTTGCCAGAAACTGGGAATGGATGACAGTTAGGAATTTACCTGTTCTGTTCATTCCCTCTGGGGCACCTGGTATTGGCCACTATCAGAAGACTGGATATTAGGGGTAGATGAACCTTTGATCTAACCCAGTATGGCTGTTCTTATGTTAGCAGTTTTATAATGGCCTTTGAACCACTAGTGCTCTGAGGAGCGTTTGCTGGATCCTCTTTGTTTCCAGCTGCACTACAACATTAAGATAGCTAAAATATTTTTAAAATATTTGTCCATTGGCTCTGAATAGGAAGTGAAGTGACCTAAGATTTCTGCTAGGTCATTGGAGAGCCCCCCATACTAACAGTTAAATAGAATCAAGATTTGTATGCCAAATAAAATATGCCAGAAATAACTTATAACTTGTTTGTACAGAACTTATAATTTGTTTGTATATCTGATTATACATTGCACCAGCAATCTCTCTTGGCATTCATTTAGCCTTAGGTTAAAGGGCAGCTAAATATTGTGTGGCTTTCATAGTCATGGGTATGGTGTAAGAGGCTGGGAGAAGTATGGATGTCTAGCAAAGATGCACAGATCCCTCATCTGGAGGGCAAAGGAAAGAAAAGAACAGATCTAACAATAAACTAGAAATATTTAAAGTATTTTGTTCTCATTGGCATACACAACTGATCAGATACCTTAATATAACTGAATTTCAAAATTACATACTGTGCTGCTAATTATCTTAAACTCTCAGCTGTTTTTGCATTTGTTTTGCAGGAGTGGTCTGCAGACTTGAACCGTACTCTCAGTAGAAGAGAGAAGAAGAAGGCTTCAGATGGAGTGACTCTAACTGGTGTTAATCAGACAGGAGATCAGGCTTCACAGCAAACCAAGCAAAGCAGGTAGAACATTTTTATGTCTGGGAGAAACAAAGGCTAAATGGGAAAGAATGTACATTAGGTGGATATAAGGTCAGAAATTTCACTGCTCACCTATGTAAATGGAATATGGTTCTGTTGTCTCAGAACAGGACTTAGTGCTTTGCAGTATTCTATGGCTAGGGAACAAACAAGAAAGCCCTTAAATTTCAGCTTTTTGAAAGGGTTATATGCCTGCAAGTTCACAAAATACTTTTCCCCCCTCATTTTGGAGTTATTCAGCATATCTTTATCTGCCATTCAACTTGGAATTGGGGGGGGGGAAAACTGCATCAGAAATTAAACTTTCTCCTTTTTGTGAATTTAAGTAAAATGTATTCAGTCAGTTGCAAATGACAACATTAGACATGTCTGCTTTGATGGTTCATTATTGTAATAGTCATTGAAGGACCTGCTGAGCTTTCTGATAAGTCTGGAGATTTTTAAATCCTTCACATTTTTCACTGCTAAAGAAAAAGGTGCTATCCCTAAGTGTATAATATTTGTGTAGTACTTTTGGGGGGCCCTATGCTTTCCTAAGGCACCCAAGCAATGTGCTTGACTGGTGGCTACTGCCTGGAGAAGGGTAATTCTAAATAGTTCATTCTTTATTGTGACACTAATTACATATACATTTGACTCCATGAGCAGATAGGGTCACCTTAATGCTTTTTCTCTCCCAAATAGCAATCTTAGTGTCCCGAGTAATACAGTGCAGTCATTACAATCAAGTTACAATCCCTTTGAAGACGAAGATGATACGGGGAGTACTGTCAGTGAAAAGGAGGACAATAAAATCAAAAAGTCGGTGAAAGAATGTTTTTTTAAATTGTTTTCACACTTGCTCTTTCTCTATCCAAGGTTTCCAATTTCGGGTTTCTACAAAGGCACCATATTGTGTAATGCATGACAGTCCTTATGGTTATATAAGCAGCATTGTAAACCTAACTTTTCTTTTTCTAACAGATTGTATATGTGGACTTAATTTCATCTGGTTTTAAACTATACTGAGGTTATTGGCAGTTGGAAACAAAACTTGCCAGTTGCTTCTTGTTCTCATTTAACTGTTCTAAAATGTGTGAAACTGCTGCTGGAGCTTTGCTGCTGTGTGTGTGCTCACCAGAAAGTCCACTTAATATTTTCTTTCCTCTTAATACCTTCTCAATTCCTGTTTCATTGAAGCAATCCTGGTGTGTCATATTATTGCATGAATGTTGTGTGTACATTCAATAGTTTCTATTTCTTTAACTATAAACAAACTACTTGCTCTAAAAGTATTGCTCTAGAGCAGTGTTTCCCAATTGGTGCTCCGTGGAACCCCAGGGTTCCGCAAAGCAAAAGTAAGGGTTCCGCGAGAACGTGGCATTGCCCTGCCCCCTCTTAAAGAGACAGTATTTTGCAGGTTTTTATGCTCAACCAATTCTGGCGGGGCTTTTTTTTTCTTTTTTTTTGCTTGCCAAATTTTACTCTGGGAACCGTAGGGGTTCCTTGAAATTATTTTAAGCTGAAAAGGATTCCGTGGCCAAATAAAATCAGGAAACACTGCTCTAGAGTCTAGAACGTTTCTCAACAGGTGGGTTGTGACCCATAGGAAGTCACAAAAAGCAATCAGATTACTATCTAAAGCAAAGAAAATCTTCCTTTCCCACTACCTCTGCAAGGTCAAGTGTTCTATCAATCTCTCAACATACAAATAAGATACTTATCAGTATACTTTTTATTCTTTTACAGTAAATGTAAGCAGGTTACAAAAATTTTGACTTTAGGTATTACCCAGCCTAAACATGTTAAGAAACACTACCATAGAAATACGAAACATTGCCTCTAATGTATAAACCATTAAGTTTATACTTAACTATAGGAGGCTGGTATTATTGTATTGATGTATGTAATCTCAGAGTAAAGGAAAAATTTAAATTGTTTTTAGTGTTAGCAGCTCTGAGAAAAATCAAAGCTACCCTACAGAGTGGTCCGATGAAGAGACTAGCAATCCATTTTCTTCCACTGATGCAAATGGAGAAACTAACCCATTCGATGAAGATGCCTCCTCTGCCATGGAGGTGAGAGTACGAGCACTATATGACTATGAGGGTCAAGAGCATGATGAACTCAGCTTCAAGGCTGGTAAGTTAACTTCATTCATTTAAAATATTTGTCAGAAGGGGAAACATGAGAAAATTCCTGAAGAATATGGCCTTTTCTCCTCTTTAGGGTTAAAACAAAAACTTGAATTTTTACAAAAAAAAAAAAAAGATGCACATTACAGTAGTTTGCCTGCAAATAATCCATCCTCCTGGCTACAAAAATCTCTTCATCCTGGGAAGTGTTATGTATGACCTGCCAAGGACTCCCCAGAGCAGTTAATCCTGCTAACCCCTGGGAGGACCCAGATACAGCCCTCCACTCAAGGACTGACAAACAGTTAGTTGTTCTTTGCAAACAGTTTTTGTTTGTTAAACTACACTGTAATTGTTTACTTTAAAAGGGCAAGAGAAAACAGTGCCATATATAGTAAATAGTAAAGAACAGTTATACTGTAGTTAGAGATCATAAAGTTAAAGCAGCTTAATAGTAATGTGCTTGTGTGATTGCTACAGTGTTGTAATGTTGGCACACTCTGACCCCTTTCACGTATTCATGGGACTCCCAGTGAAAACATACACTATTTAGTGCACATGCATGGAAATGTGAAACACTAAGTATAATACAACAAAATAGAGTGAAGTCCTAAGCTAGATATAGTTACTATGCAGGATACATAGGGACCTTTCATACACATCCATAGAACTCTAGTATAATGTAGGGATGTAAATGGATAACCCATGAGCCTGGGCTCATGAGTTAACCTTCACGGTTGTGCGCATGCCCTGCGCCATGGGGTGGGGCAGGGGAGAGGCAGGAGCTGGTACATGTGGGAAGCCAGCTTTTACGCCACGTCTATAGCCAAATTTTCTGATCATCCCATTACATTGTGTCCTCCTATTATTATACATTGCTATTACTGTGATTTTATTATCCTTTCATATGTCTTTCACATATTTCCAGTGGCATCCCAATCACATCTTGATGGTTTTTGGTGAATTTAGGTAATCAGGATTTCATAAAATCCTAGGGCTAGGAGAGACCTCAGGAGGTCATCAAGTCCAGCACCCTGTGCAAAGGGATAACTAAATTATCCTAGCCAGGACTCTGTCAAGCCAGGACTCAAAAGCCTCTTGGGATGGAGATTCCACAACCTCCCTAGGTAACCCATTCCAGTACCTCACCACTCTCCTAGTGAAATAGTTTTTCCTCATATCCAACCTAGATCTCCCCCACTGTAACTTGAGACCATTGCTCCTTGTTCTGTCATCTATCACTACTGAGAACAGCCTCTCTCCATCCTCTTTGGAAACTCCCTTCAGGAAGCTGAAGACTACTATCAAATCCCCCCTCACTCTTCTCTTCTGCAGACTAAACAAGCCCAAATCCCCTAGCCTCTCCTTGTAGGTCATGTGCTCCAGCCCACTAATCATTTTGATTGCCCTCTGCTGGACCCTCTCCAGTGCGTCCACATCCTTTCTATAGTAGGGGGCCCAGAACTGGACACAATACTCTAGATGTGGCTTCACCAATGCCAAATAGAGGAATAATCACTTCTCTAGAGTTGTTGGAAATGTTCCTTCTAATGCACCCTAATATGCCGTTAGTCTTCTTGGCTTGAATGGCACACTGTTGACTCATATCCAGCTTCTCATCCACTGTAACTCCCAGGTTCTTTTCTTCTGAACTGCTGCTTAGCCAGTCAGTCCCCAGCCTTTAATAGTGCTTAGAATTCTTCAGTCCCAAGTGCAGGACTCTGCACTTGTCCTTGTTGAACCACATCAGATTTCTTTTGGCCCAATCCTTCAGTTTGTCTAGGAGGTCACTCTGGACCCTATCCTTACCCTACAACATATCTACCTCTCTCCCTAGCTTAGTGTCATCCACAAATTTGCTGAGGATGCAATCCATCCCCTCATCCAGGGGATGAATAAAGATGTTAAAACCAGCCCTAGAACTGATCCTTGTGGCACTCTACTTGAAACTGATCACTAGCCAGACATTGAGCTGTTAATCACTACCCATTGAGCCCAACAATCTAGCCATCTTTCCAGCCACCTTGCAGTCAGTCCATTTATCCAATCCATACTTCCTTAACTTGCTGGCAAGAATATTGAGAGACTGTATCAAAAGCTTTGCTAAAGTCAAGGTATATCACATCCACCTCCTTCCCCTTATCCACAGAGCCAGTTACCTCACTGCTGAAGGTAATCAGTTGGTCAGGCATGATTTGCCCTTGGTGAATCCATGTTGACTATTCCTGATCACTTCCCCTCTTCCAAGTGCTTCAAAAGGGATGCTTTGAGGATCCCCTCCATGATTTTACTGGGAACTGAGGTGAGGCTGATGGATCTCTAGTTCCCTGGATTGTCCTCCTTCCGTTTTAAAAGATGGTCACTACATTTGTCTTTCTCCAATCATCTGGGACCTCTCCCGATCTCCACGAGTTGTCAAAGATAATGGCCAAAGACCCTGCAAGGACATCTGCCAACTCCCTCAGTACCCTCGAATGCATTAAATCCGGACCCATCGATTTGTTTGTCTAGCTTTTCTAAATAATTTTTAACTAAGAACTTTGTCACTAAGCATCCTCACCTGTAGAAGCCATATGTAATAGAACATTTATGAGCGTCCTAATTGGTTGTAATCTGCTTCCTTGTCTCTAAACTTTGTTCTATAACTTTTATAAACCCCATTGTAATTGTTATGGCTCTAGACCAGTGGTTTTCAAATGTTTTTGCCGGTGGTCTACCCCACTCAACACACACCTTTTCAGGGGCCAGCAACCAACCACCCACGATAACAAAATGGGTGCAAGAGGGCATGGGGGATGAGGTCTGGCCAGGAGATAGGGTGCAGAAGCAGGGATGGCGGTGCAGGGCCTGGGTATGAGGGGAAATGGGGGATGCTCACCTGGCTCTGTGCCTTCCATCGGCTGTGATTCTGGCCAATGGAGCAACAGGGAAAGCCTCCATGTGAGCGGTTTCCTATGCTACTGTGTCCACCCTCCTTCCCCCACATCCTCTAGTTGAGGAGAGGGGAGCGGCAGCACACACAGTTGCTTCCTGCCTCTGCCAGCCAGATCTGGCCTGTGAGGCTTATCTTCTCTCCCCTCCCACAGTGGGAAGCTGGCACTAGTGCTCCAACCTCATGGTGGGGGGAGTGGGGGCTGGAGTTGCAAGTGCAGACTCTTCACGGGGAGGGGGAGTGCCAAGCCCACAGCCCACCTGCAAGACGGTCACAGACTACACTGAGGACCACTGTTCTAGGCTTAGTATCTTTTAAATTTTGAAATTGCAATTCTGAATTCTATTAAGTGAAGCAGTACTGCTAGGTGTGATCCACTGTATTACTGTTTTCATTTTGGAGTCCATTGTTTCATTATTGCTACTTGGTTAATCATAATTCCTATGTCTGGATCTCTTACTACTACAATAAGGTAGTTGATCAGGCAGTTATTTTTAATCCTTCCTATAATGCACACTGCCATAATCCAGTTCTAACTACGTTACCACTTATGGTACCTATTCCTTTCTCTGACTTCAAAATTCAATTTGAGGGCTGTAGTGGGCTGTAGTAACTCTATCCCATATCTTTGCATTAAAATTCCTTTCCCTTGATCATCAAATAAGATGTCATATTTGTGGGCATCATCAGTGATAAAGCATTTACTCCTATAATTCTGTGCTGTAAATTCTGTAACACTAGCAAGTCCCATTATTACCTTAATTGCTGTTTTCCTAGCTTCTGGAATTGTAAACACACGTTTGTCTGTGATTGGCAAAGGTTCTACTGTTTGGATGGGATTTAGACTATTTTATTGTAAGGCTTTTGCCTAAATTCGTACCACCATAGTAGAATCCCGTAGCTACAAATACCCAGAAGAGCCAAGATTAATAGAGTCACATCTTCCACCATTGAGCTTTCACTTCTGAAAGATAAATGAGGCCCTTTTCAAAACAATTGTTTTACTTTAACAGTTTAAAAATAAGTAACTCTTAGCTTTTTTGTTGTTTGCAACATTTATATTAACAGTAACTTCTTATTTTTTCCTATAGTAAATCAGTTATGCTCCATTACATGCTGCAGTTTATATCAATATCTCTATTGTGTCAGCACCTATGATACAATATTCTTCCACCCCTCTGTGCATAAGACCAAACCTAATACTCATTTGTTTTTGGCCTATGTTGATTGATAGTGGCACACTTATTGGCATCAAGAGTTGTCCCTCTGACATTTAATATGCAAAATTCTTATGAGGTGAATGGCAGTAGATTAACATCAGCATCAATATTTAAAATTTTATAAAATTGAACTTAAATCAATATAACGTAACACTCCTGCTCTAATATTGGGATTATCAAAAATAATGGGAACTAATGGCTGCCTGTTTTGGTCTAAAAATACTGGTGTCATGATCATTTTGGGGGTGGCATCTTCATCCTCCGATGCTTCCAAACCACAGAGGTTTGTGTGTTTGGGGGCATTGGAGGTTTGTCTGTGAGGGGTGCTATTCAGTTGTTGTGATGAGGGTGAGGTGAATCTGTGGTAAGTGCTGGGCATAAGGGTTTGTGTGTGGGAAGGGGTGATCCCTAAATGGACGGGAGGCAGTGTGGTGTAGTGCACAATCCAGGTCCACCTCCAAGGAGAAAGGAAGCACTAGTAGTGTAGGGCCAGGTGGGCAAGTGTGCATTTGGCAGCTACCAATTCGTGAACAGTGCCTTCTGGCTGGGCTAGGCAGAATGGGGCTGCTCCTGTCACACTATGCTTCATTGTCCCCATGGTGCCAGGCCCAGAAAAGGTTAATCTGACCCTGGTTTACATAAATAAAATAACAATTGTGGTAGTTTCTCCGTACTAGATGGTTAATTCCAAATGCTTGAGGCTTGGGCATTGAATGGCTACCCTAAAGAACTTTTTATAGATTTTGTGCAGCAGTATTAGAATGAGTGAGACTTGTATTACACTGAGCATTTGAAAAATAAAAGTTTCTTGAGGAACAGCTTTATAGGACACACGAGTCAAACTAGTATGTGCCTCTTCTCTAGCTCGGATATGGCTAATCTCGTAAAAGCCTGTCATCAAGGGATTAATCTCTCCAAAATCAATTTGAGTAAATGTATGTAAATATTCTTAAATAGGATTTCCTTGCATACACATCTGCACTACAACAAAATTGACCAGGCAAAATCGAATTAGTGGCTACTGCTCATGAAAGCAAAAGTACAGAAATTGACTTTGCAGCCCTTGAAGTCAATGAAACAGGACTGGTGGTGTGGATTCTGTTTAGAAAATTGATTTTATGCATCTGAGTTTGACCTAAATTCTCAATGTAGACCTTGACTATGACATTGGGGTGGGAGCTAATAAGTGACATAGGATATTTGAAAAGAGGCAATCACACATCTTGAGCAGCTAAAAACAAGTTTATTGGGGGCAGTCTAATACTTTATACAACAAGAATAGATAATATTCATTTATGGCTTGCAATTCAATCTCAAACCAAAATCTGACTTGCCTTTCTGATGTCACAGCCATGTATCAACTTCCAGTTGCATATCTGGGGCCAGAAGCTAAATACCAATGTCCATTATGTTTAAAGGGAAAGGTAAAAAATTAAATGAAGGGCGAAATATGGAATCATAGAATACTAAAACTGGAAGGGACCTCGAGAGGTAATCTAGTCCAGTCCCCTTGCCTCATGATAGGACCAAGCACCATCCTTGATAGAGCCTATCTAACCAACTCTTAAATATCTCCAGCGGGGTAGCCATGTTAGTCTGTAACTTTAATTAAAAAAAAAAAAAACCTTAAATGAGTGGTTATGTAGCACCGTAGAGGCAAACAAAAAATATAGCTAGTATTATGAGCTTTTTGTGGGTAAAAAGTCCTTTTTTACTTGGTAGAAGTATTTATGGTGCCCAAAATTAGCCTTGACCACCCACGTTCTCTAGAAAGGTAGGAAGTTAATATTCATTTATGTAATTCTTACCGTGTTATTTTCATTTTGATATAACCAAGTATTATTGCCTTTTTGAAATGTTAGCATTATAATTCTTCACTTTTATAAAATTCCTTTCTAAGTATCTTAAAGTGCTTATTGGATGCCTTCATATCATATGTGACTGTCTATAAAAAGGGTTATATTTCAAGATCAAAGAAATGGTTAAGAGCATCTAAGAAGAATTGGTGGTAGAGGTTGGTAAAGAAGAAGGGTAGTTATCGAGGATAGAGTTTATACTAAATTTTCTGTTACTGGCAAAGTTTTGTCAGATGTGAAATTTTATTTTGCAGGGGATGAGCTAACTAAAACAGAGGATGAAGATGAGCAAGGTTGGTGCAAAGGACGTCTGGACAATGGACAAGTTGGCTTGTATCCAGCAAACTATGTAGAAGCAATCCAGTGACAAAGGATTGTGATTTGGAAGTACTATAACTTTGTAAGCCAGTATAGAACATGTTGCTCACAATAAGGAGAACTGAATGATTTACAGAATGTATATATTAATGCAAAAGGAATGATGGACTGATATTGACTTTATGATGTGTTGGAGACAAAAACTAGAACTTGCAATTTGAAAACAAATTTCCATTGTGTACAAACTGCAAAACAAAAGGATCAGATTGAAAAATATAGTACAACAAGGAAATTACTCTTTAGCTTCTTTCCTATCTAATCTGTGTTAATATAATTTTTGCATTTTCTGTTCTGGTGCCCTATCCACTCTGGGTATATGGCTATCTTGATTTTTCATTTAATCAGTTATTTTAAGTGACCTTCAGTAATTTTCAACTTGGACTTTTAAGACTGTTGATTTTCTGTTCGTTCTTAGCAATGTCTGACAGATGCAGTATTTTTTTATTTAAATCCTACCTAGGTAAGCACCTTTTTTATGCTTTGATTTATCAATTAATACTTAAATTATGACTGAATGATTCACCTGTCAAGTGAATGAGAACTTTCCATGCTGTAATGTTAATCTTTCCATGCTGTCATCATGGATTAAAGTTGTAAAACTAGTATTGTATTTAATGTCTGTTACGGAAAATTGTTTTGTAGCAGCTATATCTGCATATATTATGGTTGGATTTCTATTGCGAATGCTATTTATGCATTTTGACATTTAAATGTGAGTTTCCCAAATACACCTTAAATTGCACTCTAAAAGAAAAACAGAATATTTAAAACTATTTCAGTCATACTCTTGCTGAGAAATTTAACCTTCTGTATTAATGATATCAGTTATTTGAAAGATTAAATATGTATGAAGACTAATTTTTCAAGCAAAGGAGACTGAAAAATAGAGGCTCTTTATGTTGTGTATATGTGTATATATAATTTGATATACAGAATTTAAAGTGTCCACTGTTAATTTTGTGAGCCTTCTGTTGATTAGATTCCGCTTAAAATCTTAAATTATATGGATATTTAAATCTGCATTATTTCCTATTGTGCAGTGTCATAGAGCCAAATATTCTGTGATTCAGACTCTCAGAAATCTAGTAAATACAACAGTATATGCTAAAACTGTATTGGTTGGTAAATTGTGGATTCAAATATAAACTAGCTTTAGTAGTCCCTGTGTGGACTATTGTAGCAGAACACTGTAAAGTCTTCTACATTTTGTTTGCAGCTACAACTCGGTCATATGTAATAGTGTCAAATAGTATATATTTGTGACATTTAAAGGCTGGGTTATACTTGTTGCAGGTTTTTGACTTTAAATCTTATCAGGTGAGTCAAAACGCTATGTTAGAAAGCTACATTGTAATCAAATTAAGAAATCTATTTTCATGTAATTGAAACACAATAGGTGTTCCTTAGCTATACAATTTGCTTTTTGAAATCATAGATATCTATTTAGTCAGTAGTTTTGAGTCGAAATGTACAAGTTTAGGAAGTGTATGTCTGCCATAAGAATTTACCATCCACAAGATAAAGACTTAGCAAAAACTGTCAAGAATTTGAGGTCTTGGTCTTTGTATTCTAAAATATTTTAGTAAAATAAAATCTGTTAATCTCTTAAATGAACCTCTGACTTATTAGTGGAAAAATTCTATGCATTTCTCTGCAACTTGAGATGGGTAACCAAAATTGATTTGAGTCTACAAAATTCATAAACTCACTCTTGATATGAACAGAAGCTGTCTCTTGGGTAAAGAAGGAAGCATGGCACCAAATTTAGATGGCATTTCCAAAAGCTTGTAATGAAACACATTTGTAGAATGGGAGAGGGTTAATTATTGTTTCAATGTAACTACATCTGTCTACAAGACAGGTGATGTCTAAGTCTGTATCAAGGTATGTGCTTGTTAAATAAAGTTAGTTCAACACATCAGGATTCAGACAGTACATTCCACAAGATCTTTCTGCCTTGCTCTGAAAATGTTTCACTCTGCTTAAAGACGCTGTCAGAAAAATGAATGTGCTGGAAGAAAAATGACAAACTTCCTTGCTATAGAACCGTCCTATGGTGGTGATTGCTTGCCTGGCAATTATGTTGGTATTGGTAACAGACTTAAAAAGCAAGTCCTGTTTTTCAACTACTTTGGACTCTTCTTTGTTATGTTACAACCAGGCAATACTGCTGAGTGGGGAAATTCAGTCTCAGATTAACTAAAATGGAAATGTCTTTCGTTTTATTTTTGCTTTTTAGTAGACCTTTGTCAGCCTGGTGCAAGAACTGTCAACTGTGCACATCTGTTTCAGAACATAGAAAAATATTAAGAATCAAGACTAAGATGTATTAGTAGAGCAATATTGGGAAATTTTATGTGACTGCTTATCATGAGGGATCTACACAGGATGGTTTACTTCCACAGCACAAAAATCCACAATCTCTAAAATGGAGATAGAATTCTCAATTATTTTTCAGTTTTTTCTTTATACTACCTTCTTACAAAATACTAATCAATGTCAGAAATATTTTGTCCTGAGGTGTGTTGTATCTTCAGGGTTTTGCAACTATGGCTAATCTGAACACTTAGAAATATTTGGTTTACTACATTTTTTACATTTAAAACCACATTTAAAATTTGAAACAGATTTTATGTGCATAAAGAGATGAGTCCAAATAACAAGTATTTACAGCAGTGAGTAGGACACAAGAGACCCTCCATCTCAGTGGAACACAAGATTGTCATAACCAAGACAATCTCCTGGGATAGAGTGGTTTTCCTAACTCCGCTTGCAGGGCATACCAACTGAATAACATCAGTGCTTTATTTGAATGAAGAGGAATCTCACAGCTCTCAATCAATGTCGTGTGCACTTTACATGCTCTTGCTTTACATACATGTCTTTTTAATAATAGCAGTAGGGTTTTTCCTAGGTGGAAGGAAACCAGCTGAGTGTGGCAACCCTGCAGGTGAGCAACAGTAAACAAATGTCTCATGGGCTGTCCATAGAATCCCAATGGGCTGCAGGTTGCCCACCACTGATTTGCATAATTTAACATGGACTCCAGCAGAAGCAATCCTACAAAATGCCATCAAGGGGTTTCCTTTAAGGATGTGAAATTTTGATTAATCAGCTAATTGAGTAGTCAATGGAATTTCCATCAATTAGTCGATAAGGGGGCTCCCTATCTTGCTATGCCTCTCCCTTTGAAAGGTACAGGAGTTGCCCACAGCTCTTCTATATTTCAAAGGGAGGGATGCAGGAGGAACTCGCACCAGTGGGGACTGAAGCAGTCCCTGCTGGTGTGGGTTCACCTCTGTGCCTCTTCCTTTGAAATGTAGAAGAGCTGCAGGCAGCTCTTGTACATTCCAAAGGGAGAGGAGCAGCAGTGGGACTGTTTCAGTCCCCGCTTGCGCCGTTTCCCCACTGCCCTCTGCTTCCTCTGTCCCCTGCGAAGACGGTGCTGGAGGGAACTGGCTGATACAGGCAGCAAAGGTGGGGAAACATAAGCATTTGCTTATCGGGTAGTTAACTACTCGCTTACATCCCTAGTTTCCTTGTGGTTTCATGTTCATCATGCTCTTGCTTGGGGGGGCCCAGTCTTATGGGGCCTTAGAGAAAGGCCGGAAGGACTTGGGCCTCAGGATTAGGGCTCTCCCTTACCTGGAGGTCCTGTCAGTTTGCTGGATCAGAACAAAAGCCTCGAGTCATTTTAATCTCAGGTTATTTAAACCAACTGTTCTGTCTTTCTCTGCTGATCTCTAGACAATCCAATTTGAACAACTGAAGAAACTGAATAGGTTATCAGCCAGACAATGCCCACCTCCCCTGGTGAAACGTCAAAGGACTGATAAAGGAAGTACACTAGCATATACCCCCTTCAAAAGAAGTTATTTACAGTTATATACACCAACAGTTGTATATTCAGTAAAGCAAAAGTATTAAATTTAATATAGTAAGATTTAATTAATTAAGGTTTGTCCAGGACATTGCAGGAAATTGCCATGTCATAACCACAATGATCTGTCACGGGCTGGCAACCTATGGCATGCATGGTATAAGTGATTTTCAGTGGCACTCATAGTGGGTGCTCAACCCCACCCCTCCTCTCCTGTGCAGCTGCTGGAGTCCTCCTGCTACCCTGGCAGCAGATTAGGCTGCTGTGGGAAGAGGCAATGCTGTGACTCATGGCAAAGTGATGATGAATCTATGCTAGTACCCCAAGATATGTAGGAATGCTCTAAATTGCTTTTTGCATACTCGGCGAGACGCACCAACCCTGCATTGCCTCTACCACGTTCCACTGGGGTTTCACCAAGCCTCTTTCTACTACATAACTGAGGTACCTGGCCATGAATTTGACCATGCCCTTGGGAGGGTTGGTGGCAAGGCTGGCCTAAGGGCGTCTGACACTGCTTCTACTTTTCATAGGTGAGTCTCCCAGTCAGGACTATGGATGATTATATCCACAAAATAGGGAGTGGCATGCCTGGTGTGGGGTTGTAGTAATTCATGCATTCGTCATTAAAACTGTTACTGGGACCCTGTGGAGTCCAAAAAGGACAGATGGTCAAGCCCAGCTTGGTCATTGGGCCTTGCCTAGCTTATCAAGTAGTTCATTGATGTGTAGGCATAATCTGGTGGTGAGGGTCAGGGCTTTCTCTCCTTGCCTCCTCCCCGCCCCCCCCAGCAAGGTGGCACTAATTCTAATCTTGCAAGAGGGGCACAAGGCTGGAGCATCAGCACTGGATCCTTGCTGGAGGGCAGCTGGAGGGGCTAAGCTGGAGCTCCAAAAGAGCCATATTTGGCTCACCAGCCATAGGTTGCCAACCTATGATCCAACACCATATCGCAGGGGTGGGCAATAATTTTTGGTGCAGGGCCACTCCAAGAATCTGGAAAGTGGTCAAGGGCCACACTTCTGTGGAGAAGGTGCGAAGTCTAAGATGGAGGTTGGGTGCAGAAGAGTGCCCAGGGTAAGGAACTGGGGTGTAGGAGATGGTGTGTGGTCTGAGAGGATGTTTGGGAGAAGAAGGGAATTATGACCTGGGCCAAGAAATTGGGGTGCAGGGTGTTTGGGTGCAGGAGAGGATTCTGGCCTGGAGGGAGGGGGTACAGGGACTGGGAGGGAGTTGTAACCAGGGGTAGGGGGTGCAGAGGGTTTGGATGGTGACCTGGGGGAGGGATTTGGGGTGTCAGGCAGGCTATGGCCGGGTAGCATTTACCTAAGCCTACAGCACCCCCAAGGCAAGCTGGGCTCTCTGACTGCTGCAGCCTCAGATGACTTAAAACTGCAAACTGCTGTGTCTATATGGCTCTCAGCTCCTAGAGGGGAAGAGACTTGCACTGCTCCCATCCCCTAGGCCAGGGGTGGCCAACCCATTAGAGACAAAGAGCCAAAATAGCAGTGGATAGAGTGCAAAGAGCCATGTATTATATATTTATTTTTATCTATTGATCAATCGAGAGTACACAAAATGTAGTGATAAAAATAACATTACAGGACATTTTGGACAAAAACTAATAAAAAAGACTAATTGCTTCAGCCTGGCAAACAATAGCCATTGAATTTTCTTTAAAGAAACAGTATAAACCAGGTACATGCTGAGTCTTTTTTTACCCCGGAATTTAAATGACATTTGTGTTGACTGCCTTATTCTGCATCCATGAAGACTTTGAGTTTAAGGTGCTTCAGGTCCCCCACCCCTTGCTCTAACCCAATCTCCCTTCCACTTCTCTAGAGCTGGGCACTCCCCCCTCACTTCTAACCCAGTGGTCTCCAACCTTTTTACACCCACGATCACTTTTTAAATGTCAGGGCAAGCTAAGATCTACCCCATCCCTTTCTCATGACCCTTCCCTTCCTTGAGGCCCGGCTTTCTGTTCCCCTCCTCTCCATCATTTGCTGTCCCCAGCCCTTACTCACTTTCACTGTGTTGAAACAGGAGGTGTGGGCTCTGGGGTGAGAATGAGGGATTTGGATGTGGGAAGAAGTAAGAGGTACAAGCTCTGGAGCTATGTCTACACTACTGGGTTTTTTTGTCAGAAGATATGCAAATTGCACTCATTTGCATATCTTCTGCAGATCCTTTGTGCAGAAGAGGTTTTGCTGATAAAAAGCCCCGTGTAAAGGGGGCCATTTGTCAGTTAAAAAAAAAAAAACCCTCTTTTGCAAGATCCCATATTCCTCAAAAATGAGGTTTACAGGATCTTGCAAAAAAGGGTTTTTTTTTTCTTTTCTGAGAAATGGCCCTGTCTATACAAGGATTCTTATTGACAAAACCTCTTCCGCAAAAAGGATTGGCAGAAGATATGCAAATCATGCTCTTATTTGCATATCTTCTGCTGAAAAAACCCAGCAGTCTGGACATAGCCTGGGAGAGAATTTGGGTGCAGGAGGAAGTAAAGGGGATGCTGGCTCAGGGAGGTGGCTCTAGGCTAGAGTGTTGGGGTTAGGTGGAGGGTTGGGGTGCTGAGCAAGCCACAGGCTTGTGGATGTGAAGGTGCAGGAGTTTGGGTTGGCGATCTGAGAGGCTCAGGATGGGGTTCCAGTGTATGATAGAAAAATACCGGCAGCCTGGACATAGCCTGGGAGAGATCTGGGAGATCAGGTATGGGATCTGGGATATGTGTCACGTGCTTCCTGAGAAGTTGGAGCTCGTATGCAGTCCTGGGACTCCTACTCCTCTCCCCTTCCCCTCCCCACACAGGCAGGCAGAAGGGGGGAAAGTCCCCAGCGGCACAACAGACCCCGCATTTCAGGAAGTGCACTGTCTGTTTAGGGGAGGGGAAGAGCAGCCCGCGCACTTCCTGAGATGCCGGCTCTGGCTTGTAGCTGCAGGACTCCCCACCATGATGCAGAAAGCTGGCATGCTACCTCCATTTTTGTTGGTGGTAGCATCAGTGCAGACTGCTTCTTGGGGGTGGAACACCTCATGATCAACTAC